AAAAGCTGAACAAGAATATACTGATCTAGACAGTTTTTGGAAAAATATGACAAGAGAAGCAATGCTCTTATTAAGTGATTGTTTTTATTTATAGTGCTGTAGTGTGATTGTCACAGCAGCTTTGTGGATGATGTGATTCAATGTCGCTATCTGCACAGAAATTATTTTATATAATTTGTGTCTCCAGTGATCAGTCAAATTAGACTATTACCGTCAGTGAAAGCAGCTCTATCCAGACCTACAGGTGTAACGTTTACTGACTACTGAGCGATAAAATCCTCAGAGAGTCATAAGGAAAACACCAGGAGAATGGAAGGAGTGTGTGAGTGAAGGAGGTTGTGAATGTGTGTAGATGTGTGTTAGTTACAGGATCAGAGAACGACACCGTACCTCTGTCATAGTCCAGATTCACTCTCACTCGATCACGATCCTGTTTAACAAGAAAACCAGACCATTCAGTAAGTTCCTCAGGCTGATACCACACACTCCAGACCAGGGCCGTGCTCAGAACTTTTGAGGGGCATGTGCTGAAACTGAAAAAGTGCATCATCCTTTTGGAGACTACTGTATTCGTTGTAATATAAGGCCCAAAGTGTAGAGTGACGACACTTGTTTTATTTTCTGTTCTTATTTAAAGTGCATCTTATTATTTTGTTTTGTTTTCCGTGATCCTGTGAGTCATCACTTAGTTAAACCGTGTGTGATGATGGCTTAGCAGCAATAGAGATCATTGTCTTTATGAACAAAAACGGTGTTTATGAAGCTATCAGACATTTTGTGGTGGACTTCGGAATCGCGTGTGAAACCGGACTGATCGTGTGTTTCATCATTCTATGAAAAAAGTGCGTCATCCTTTTGGAGACTACTGTATTCGTTGTAATATAAGGCCCAAAGTGTAGAGTGACGACACTTGTTTTATTTTCTGTTCTTATTTAAAGTGCATCTTATTATTTTGTTTTGTTTTCCGTGATCCTGTGAGTCATCACTTAGTTAAACCGTGTGTGATGATGGCTTAGCAGCAATAGAGATCATTGTCTTTATGAACAAAAACGGTGTTTATGAAGCTATCAGACATTTTGTGGTGGACTTCGGAATCGCGTGTGAAACCGGACTGATCATGTGTTTCATCATTGGAAGTGGATCGACTGGATTCATCTCATGTTCAAGACAGCTCGTGAGGGGGCGTTGAGGGTTCGTGCTGTGAGGAAGGGAATATTGTTTCACTGCCATCGGATGAACGTAAGTGAAATCATTTTCGTGCGGGATTACTTTGAATTCATCTGATTAATGTGCACCAACGAACTGGGCCCCAACGATAACGATCGATCGTACATTTGAACTGTTTGACTGACTCAATGTACATTTGAACTGTTTGACTGACTTAACGTATATTTGAACTATATTTGTAGTTCATATATTTGTAACTAATGTGCATACAGTACTGAAAGACGGTGTATGATGTGCACTGCAAGTTTTCTCAACTGTTTAACTGATCT